TCACCTGTTACAGGTGTCATAGTCCGTAACTCCTGGCGCGCGTGCGTGTAGTAGTATAGAAGACGCGTGATTACAAATATGTAAAAAAATACATAGTTGAATAAATAGGAAAAACGGTGTAAGCAGACGAAGCAATAAGGTTTTTTCCTAATTTTGTGGTATTTTTTTATATATTTTGAATCACGCGTTTTGTTATTTCTTTAATATCTCATACAGACACACACACACACACAAGACAAAAACGAGGAAGATATGAAATTAGTCATTCTATACACTGCCAGTGTCCCACTGATTTCTTGGCAGTAGTTGCTGCTTATTTATGTTAACTTTGTCCCCCAAGTTACTTCCCATTTAGTCCAAGGTAAATGCTATCACAGCTTCCAAAGGAATGCCACGCACACCACCTTGAGATACTCTGGGAGAATTCTTAACTTCTTTACTACAGTATACGTTTACAAGGAACTGTTACATTGGGAACGAGTTTACAAAATTAACAGGTTGTAAAAGATGGTTAACCCGAATGAAAATTTTGAGATAACTTTCCGCTTGAAGATCAAGTTTTCCAAGTCTAGAGAGCACACTTATACATTGGTGGAGTCTTGAGAGCAGGTGACTAGCGGTGGAGAGATCTAATCTATAAGAAAGGAAAATACCGTGACTGGAATACACAAATTACCCGCACAAAGAAGAGAGGAGCTTACGACTACGTTTCGGCCCGACTTGGACCATTTACAAAGTCCAAGTCGACCGAAACCGTCGCCGTAAGCTCTCTCTTCTGTGTGCGGGTTATTTATGTTGCAATCTAAGTCAATAAGGCGGTGCTGAATAGGACACGAGAGCAGAGGTCGAACTGTTACCATTCTAGTGATAGTAGTATAGTATAGTAGTAGTAGTAGTATAGTAGTCGTAGTAGTATAGTAGTAATTGTGAAATTTTCAGAGAACCCTTCCCCTGACCGATAGGGACTGTGGACGAAATGTGTGCCCAATCCTCAATCCGTCTTAATGTGAAACATTCCAGTTGAATGAGGCCAAACACCACGTCCTGCAAAACCCCGTAACTTACTGCCAATTTGTAGGGCCCATTTGTGTAGCAAGCAGGTTTTACTACAGCACCTTCACCTTGGCAACCGGTCCTGTTCATTTTGTTTCTGGGTGACGGTGTCAGTGAAAAGATAGATTCAATTAATTTTCTTCCCTCTCCCTGTTTTATTATTCTCTGATAACCATGCTTGCCCTGGGGCCAATGCATATAATGTAGTTTACTATGTAAAAACAACACGGTGGCAGCGACAACGGTTGTCGTTGCTTAAGGGTATTTTTTTGCGCTTTAACACACGAAGAAACTTCCTTGCCATATCATCCGCATGTATAATATCACAATTCAGGGATAGTTAAATGCTTGCCACCTTCCTGATGGCTTTGGTATTGGAGGTAAGATAATATTACTGGCTTTGTTAGCAACCTTGAATTAATTTCATTTTTTTCATTGTGGGAGCGCTACGACCGTATCGGGTCCCAGCAAACGCCTTGGGTATTGGAAAGCAATCAGATTCGATGCAAGAGCCCTTCACCGGCACGTCCTTTGAGGGAATGTAACTTAGTTACCAAGCGTTCTCAGTTACCGGTGGAAGAAAGAAAAATCAAACAAAATAAAACAGGATGAGTATGTCGATATCCCTGATCATTAAAGCAATCACACTTGAGCTCTCTCTTGGCTCAGAGACTAGTAACTAGTAGTAGTAACTGAGGCGATCTCGACCGCTATGAGCCTTCGCGGCTTCCGTTCACCTTGAAATAAGGAAAAACAAAACTCTTCCTTCCCCTCGACGTCCTTGTATAGAAATACAGTACTAACAGTTCCCTTATAATTCAGTGAGTTCTGTGAACCCAACATCCAGAAGACCTCATCCTTCTGGTTTTACCACGCCAACTAGAAACTAAAACAGATGTTTGTTGGATTCTTTTTAAGAGCCTTCAGAATTTAACAGCCCCGATTTCCTGAAGAAGTGGTCCCTCAATCACCGACATCTTCTGCAGCTACACTTCCTGTCATCTCCATACTAGCATTCTGAGAGTCAGATATCAAGAGAATGTGCTTTTGAAATGTTTCCTTTCCACGGTATATAAGCCTTTACTTAACTATGAACTCTCTAGACTCAATAAGCCTGCTCCTCAAGGTAAACAGTGTCGTGAGGAGATTCAGTTCTACTAACTTTTATATTATTCAAGAGCTTGTGGAGGTGGGATGTTTAATGTATTACATGGTAAAACTAATTATCAAGCTTATACACTCTGCACTATGTTCTCTTTTTTTTTCTAACTGCAGACACTAAGCTTTCTGGATTGCGCCTTCCAACATGTTTGACAGGTTTTACGCTTTCCTTACTGTATTACAACAGGAGAGTTTACTTATCAACCAGAAGTATAAATGGGAGAGTACATATGGTATTTACAAAAGAAATTCAATGACAAGACAAACATTCCAGTGCTTTTAGAGGCAGAGGCAGTGAGACGATATCGAAGCTTTGGAAGGATAACGGAGATTTTTAGAGCCCGTCTCCCTTCCTAAAATTGAGAACGCAAAGGGATTCAGTAGAAAAAATGGAGAAAAAAAAACAAACGAATATTGAGAAACATTTAAATTAGACAACAGATGTAGAAAGATGATAAGAATCCTGAAGAATTAATTTTTTTTTTTTCTTTAATCAAAGACTGATCGCGTTGCGACCATTAGTAGGCCAAGATAAAATGCTACTGTGGCACGATCTAAGGACGTAGTAGTAGTGTAGAGATTAGGGGATAGAACACTGTGTCCAAGTGGGTGAAGCAAGAGAGAGGGTCGAGAACCTCTAGAACAAGAAAAATCCAGCCTAGACATTGTAATGAATTTAGCGCACTGTCCGGCGAAGTTGAAGATAGCCTAAAACACGGAATCTACAACTGAGCCCAAATATGAATCTAAACGAAAGGCCACCACCCCTAAATTGTTATAAAATTAAAACATCTAATCACAGGGAAACCTAATCCTCATGCCCACAAGATATTCTTCAATCACACAAACTCGTTTTCACTTGAATTACATTGGTTCAACAGCCTGCTGTCACTGCAGACATCAGTGACGAATCTGGAGCTTTGCTTTTATTTACAAAGCTCTAGAATCGTTTTGTTACTTTGTAGCCCAAGCCTACTCTTTTTTCTAGGATTAATAAAATTTGCATCTTTTCATTATCAACTTTGCTACTGCGTGACCATTTCAATCACGTTACACATTCACAAAGGAAAACTTTCCAATTATTTGTCATAATTCTCAACCACTTGCATAATTCTTCTGTGTCACTGACCCGTAAAATGTAGGCAAAGAGTATGTCCCCAACATTTATTTGTTAGGGATAGGTTTATATTTTTGTATTATTGTTGCTACTGTCTTAGCCTTTGTGCTTTACTCTGAAGAACCTGTAAGTAAACACTCCTGTGAAGCATCTCTCGGTCCTAAAAGGTCTAGACCATCAATATATCTAAAAGACCTAGACCATTTTAATGATCTTAAAGGTCGAACCACGAATATATCTAAAAAGGTTTGACCATGAATATGATCTAAACGTCTGGACTCATATATAAGATATAACAAGTTCTGGTCCATCAAATAATAATACAAGATCTGACCATTTATGAGATAAGAATGTTTAGGAACCATTATGATAAAGGAAGACTTGAACCTTTCCAATGAGATGAAACTAGAACGCCACCGTCAGAACGCCACCCGTCATGAACGCCACCGGTCATGAATGCCACCGGTCATGAATGCCAGGCTTTCTGTATCTGAATGAAGAAATCTAACCCTACTGACATTTTCAAAATGCCCGTTTTCCTCAGTAAAATGATTCAAATATCTATAGACTGTAAGGCCTAACTGCATAATCTTTTAGTTTAATGATTTTTGTAGTGTTCTAGTCCCCTAAAATAATATGTTAGAACCATAAAATGCATTTTGGGTAAAATTTTAAGGCTTCTAAAAATGAGATACAGCAGCGAAAGCAAGAAAATAAAGCAGGAACTTTCGGATTAGGATCAATAAAGCAACCAACGTTATGACAAGCCAACCAAGCATATTTTTATTTTGGTTACACAGCTGCGTAGATCCTCGGAGCATCCAGAGAGTGGTGGCATCAAGAAAATACCAGCAGGAGAATACCTGTTACTACTCTTTATAGTACGAGTGTCATGGGGACGCCCTAAACCCGTTACGAGTCGTGCAGCATCGGAAATGGAGAGGTGTGATAAACAGATTTAATTCAAGGAAAGGGGAGGGTAGTTTAACCTTCTTCGATCAAGAGCTTCGTCCACCAGCTTCAAGGCATCACCCAATTAAAGGTTAACAACTGAAGGAGCCTAGTTACCAACCTAGAGCTTAAGTGAGCCACAGCTCTTCAGACCACAATCATTTAATCATCAACCGAATGAGGCTGCTTCAACACCAAAGATCAATTAATATTTTTGTGTTTTAAATTCGCGGTGACCATCTGCAAGCTTCAAAGGCGAACATCGACCAAATTAGAAAGATTCTACGATGCTACAGTACATCCATCGACCTTATGAGAACTTGTACCAATAAAATAAATTTAAAATAAGTACATATCAGCCACTTAGCTTAAGAAACCCCCACTGACAATTCGCAATGAAAAAGGAGTTCCGACACTGCATCTGTGCACTTCCTAGAGAGGTACCAACTAATGAAGAGATGCCCCTTCCTATAAACTACAATACATGCCATTTTTTAAGAGGGGGTAAATCTTTAGTAATAGCAATTCCAACGCTGCGGAACGAAAACTTTTAAGGTACTGTAGCTGACTCGTTAACACATTCAAATGGCGTTACAAAAGTTCCTCTTAGCCAAGTTGACAGAATTCCTAACTGTAGCTAACCTTGTGCTTACTGTTTACATTTCTCACCTTCTGCGTCAATTTTGCTTAATACAAAAAAGAAAAATACGTCTCACACCTCATGCGGCTCCTCCTTTTTGGTCATGGATTTGACCTCGAGTTTCGGCGGCTTGGGTACCTCCGCGGTGGCTGGGTCTGTCTATACGCTCAGCCAAGTCTATTTGATTTATCCTCTCTTGCTGCACCTGGTTTGTCCCGCACACTTGACGCTTGCGGCAAGTCCATCACGTCGCCCTTTGTCTGTCTTCTCAGAGAGAGTGACAAGGCTGACAAGAAGCCACAAGCTGGGAGAGCCAGGACCAGTTTTCAACAGCACCCGCGCCGCCTGCTCAACATGGTCTTTAGGAACACCATCACGCACTTTTCAAAGGTCTCTTAACAAATGTCACTACTAGCCCATTGGTTCTCGAGGGCGTGTTGTTTTTACGTTAGGCTGCAGCCAACACTTAAGCAAATGCCCCCCGATCACTACGCCCACGGTGTGGTCCTTTGCCAATAACACCTTGTCACCGAGGAATCATCCCTCGACTCTGAAAGATAAAACAAAATTTGAATGAAGGTGTTTTCTGTAACATCATGCCGTTGAAAATCTTCATAAATGCTTTAAATTATCGTAAATTAATGCATGGCCAAGTATTAATCAATCAGCTTAAAAAATATACACTCTGAAATTTAAGAAGTGTCAAGTTCCACTATATACAGTTAAATGGGTAGAAAACCGACAAGTGAAGAACGAGACACTTGTGCGACATTGGGAATCTTTTATATTGGGAAACGCTTCGCCACCACTTGTCTTCTTTAGTCCAATACAAAAAGAACGTTGGGTGGAAGCCGAGGAGTTTTGTGGTAATCATTCCCTCAGCCTGGAGTCAAGGGTCTGTTCAGTCATCAATCTTGAGAAAAGATCTCCCCATCTTCCACCGTTCTTCTCTCTGTTGGACTGAAGAAGCCACTGTGACGAACATTTCACATAAATAATCACCAAATCTGCACAATCCATTAATTCCACTACGTATACGTGTATTTTAATGACCCTTATGGTCTTTCGCACATTCCAGGATGAAAAGTAAAATACTGGTTCAGTAATAATAATAATAATAATAATAATAATAATAATAATAATAATAATAATAATAATAATAATTAATACAAATAATCCCCTCTATTAAAATGGGTCAACAAATCAGAGGGGCAACATATTTGAAGGTATCAAGCTCTTTACAAGACATCGCGAATATGGAGACGGAGGCCGGGTAAACAAAAAATAATAACTAAGATAATATTTAGAAAGGCCGAAAATTTAAAATTTAGGCGTGTAGAATATGACGGTAGAAATAAAACCAACGTAATTAAAAGTGATGTTATATTTGAAGTCACAATCTTCATCACAATGGAAAGAGAAAATTATATAAAAGAGATAAATAAAAAGAAAACTATTGAAATACTTATTACAATCAACTGCAGTTAACTACTAAAGGGATGACAGAATAATCGATTTAATAAATGCGGCTTTTTATAAATTACGTATTTATAATAAAAAAACGTTTTTTGATTAAAATTACGAGGTTGCAATGAAAACATAAAAGGTTTTGAAATGTTAGTGTTCCTATCACATATCAAGAAAAAAAAGTGAAAGAAGAAAACACCATTTTCGACTTTGAGTTTGCAAGGCAAAAATTATCATCTTTATAAACATTTAATTTCCACTTGGATGAATTAGCAAGTTTTCAGAAATCTTGGTGTAGTAAAGCGAGGTGGTAACATCCAAAAATTTCTATGCACAGTTGCACACATTAAATAGAATGAAGCATTTCCACGGGAATTACTTAAAAAATAAATGTACATTTCTGAAATCTCGTACCTTATAACTATAACAAATAATCAGAACATCCCAGTAATGAGAGACTCAAATTCAGAAAGAACATCTGAAAGGCATGAACAAAAGGTCACTTTCTGTAAACGGAAAAACATTCCTTTCCACGAACTTTTGAAAATGTATACATGACAAACGAACACACAAAATCCTTTGAGACAAAAGATATTAAAAGAAGCATCAGAGGAAAGCAAGATGGAGTCAGACCCCTCTATGTTACTATGGTAAACAATAAGAGTTGAAATCAAACTCTACGAATCAAGATTAAAGACTGGGGAGAAACGAGCCGGACACTTCACAAGTTTACGCGTATTTTAAAAATAAAAATAAGTTAATTACATTTAAACCACAGTATACAAATAATGAGAAACCGTTTAAAATAAACAGAAAATGTACAATTTTTAATTTACATAAATTACTCGCCATAGGGATACTATGAATATTTATAGCGGATGGTAATATCCTTCGCAAACAGTCCATAAAATGACATAAACCTCTACAAAAAAAAAAATTTACATCAATGACAGTGACAAATAGTGGGATCAATTTAACTCAGATAAATGCAGGGTAATGAATATGGAAGAAGTGAAATAAAAAATAATCCTGTGGTGATACAATTCAGTTGTCACCAGGATAATTACGCGCATGTAGCCGTATGTACCACTACCCACCCAGAAAACACATTCATATATCACATTGAATATACTGGCTACTTACTTATCAAATGTTAACGAGAAAACACGACATAATAGCAAGTCAACCACAAAATAATAAAAAAAAACCAGTCTGGACGTATTTACACACAGAAAGAGAAAAATCCTTCCTAATAACAGACGGGTAATTTTCTAATCTCATTAAAATATAATTCAAAGTTTTTTTAAAGCAATACGTATACATAAGGCCAAGATTGACGATGGAGGAATGTTGAGTTGGCTGGTCAGGAAAATGTAAATTCAGTGATGGAAGATTTATGCCGAATGAAAAACATAAGAACCTTAACAAAGTTTAAGGACCGAGGAAGCCATTGAACCTGTAAGTGTCAGCACGGCACTCAACCTGGAGTAGTGTCAGCACGGCACTCACCTGGAGTATGTCAGCACGGCACTCAACCTGGAGAGTGGTCAGCACGGCACTCAACCTGGAGTAGTGTCAGCACGCACTCAACCTGGAGTAGTGTCAGCAACGCACTCAACCTGGAAGTGTGTCCGCACGGCACTCAACCTGGAGTAGTGTCAGCACGGCACTCACCTGGAGTAGGTCAGCACGGCACTTCAACTGGAGTATGTCAGCACGGCACTCAACCTGGAGTAGTGTCCAGCACGGTACACTCAAACCTGATTAGTGTCATCACGGCACTCATCCTGGAGTAGTGTCAGCACGGCACTCAACCTGGAGTAGTGTCAGCACGCACTCAACCTGGAGTAGTGTCAGCACGGCACTCAACCTGGAGTATGTCAGCACGGCCTCAACGCGGAGTAGTGTCAGCACGGCACTCAACCTGGAGTAGTGTCAGCACGGCACTCAACCTGGAGTAGTGTCACACGGCACTCAACCGGGAGTAAGTGTCAGCACGCACTCAAACCTGGAGTAGTGTCCAGCACGGAACTCAACCTGGAGTAGTTGTCAGCACGGCACTCACCTGGAGTATGTCAGCACGGCACTCAACCTGGAGTAGTGTCAGCACGGCACTCAACCTGAGTGATGTCAGCACGGCACTCAACCTGGATAGTGTCAGCACCCACTCAACCTGGAGTAGTGTCAGCACGGCACTCAACCTGGAGTAGTGTCAGCACGGCACCAACCTGTAGTAGTGTCAGCACGGCACTCACCTGGAGTAGTGTCAGCAGGCACTCAACCTGGAGTAGTGTCAGCACGTGCACTCAACCTGGAGTAGTGTCAGCACGGCCCTCAACCTGGAGTAGGTCAGCACGGCACTCAACCTGGAGTAGTGTCACACGGCACTCACCTGGAGTAGTGTCAGCACGCACTCAACCTGGAGTAGTTGTCCACACGGCACTCAACCTGGAGTAGTGTCAGCACGGCACTCAACCTGGAGTAGTGTCACACGGCACTCAACCTGGAGTAGTGTCAGCAACGGCACTCAACCTGGAGTAGTGTCAGCACGGCACTCAACCTGGAGTAGTGTCACACGGCACTCAACCTGGAGTAGTGTCGGCGGGGGTGGCACGGCACTCAACCTGGAGTAGTGTCAGCACGGCACTTCCAACCTGGAGTAGTGTCAGCACGGTAAACTCACCTGGAGTAGTTTCAGCACGCACTCAACTTTGGGGGGGGGGGGGGAGTAGTGTCAGCACGGCACCAACCTGGAGTAAGTGTCACACGGCCCTCAACCTGGAGTAGTGCCAGCGCGGCAGTGAACCCGAGTAGTGTCCGAGCACGGCAGTGAACCCGGAGTATGTCAGCACGGCATTGAACCTGTATTAGTGTCAGCACGGCACTGATCTGGAGTAGTGTCCAGCACGGCAGTGAACCTGGACCGTGGGTGATAGTGGCTCCTGCTCCACCTAGGAGCGTAGGTGACGGTGGCTCCTGGCTCCACGTAGGAAGCGTGGGTGAAGGGTGGCTTCTGGCCCCACCTATGAGCGTGGTGATGGGTGGCTCCTGGCACCACCTAGGAGTCATGGGTGAAGGGTGGCTCCTGCCCACCGTAGGAGCGTGGGTGAAGGGTGCTTCCCTGGCTCCACCTAGGAGGGTGGGTGATGGTGGCTCCTGGTTCATCTAGGAGCGTGGGTGAACGGGTGGCTCCTGCTTCCACCTAGGAGCGTGGGTGATGGTGCTCCTGGCTCCACCTAGGAGCGTGGTGATGGGTGGCCTCCTGGGCACTACCTATGAGCGTGGGTAATGGGTGGCTCCTGGCACCATCTAGGAGCGTGGGTAATGGGTGGCTCCTGGATCCACCTAGGAGCAGGGTAAGGGTGGCTCCTGGCTCCACTAGTGGGGGGGGGGGGGGGGGGGGGGGGGGGGGGGGGGGGGGGGGGGGGGGGGGGGGGGGGGGGGGGGGGGGGAGCGTGGGTGATGTGCTCCTGGCCTCACCTAGGACGTGGGTGATGGTGGCTCCTGCTCCACCTAGGAAGCCGTGGGTGATGGGTGGGCTCCTGCTCACCTAGGAGCGTGGGTGATGGGCTGTCCACCACAAATTGATCCTGCCACACTGGACGCCATTTTTTCTCTGCCTGCGAGATTTAGTTTTATTTAAATCGAATGTGAGTCAACCCCCCCACCC